AGCCGAAGCAAGGCTTCCACAATACTACTTGATCATGACGGTGTTGATGATCGCCATTCGATGTCTTTCCGCCATCACGGTGCAGCCGAAGCAAGGCTCCCACAATACTACTTGATCATGACGGTGATGATGATCACAATAATGATCACGTAAAACGACTGGCTCGTGCTGTTTGTGACGTCTTGGAATGCTCTACGATGCATTTCGTATGACGGGAAACAAACAACAGCCAGCCGGACATGGTGCGCAGACCTCGCTTTTGCCAACTACTGGCTAGACCTGACATCAAAAAGTATTAATAATGAAAGAAAAACAAAATTCGCAGCCTAACACAACATACCGTTTATGATCGATAAACGTTTTATACAACTGCACAAGGCTTTGTCACTTCAAAATAGTTGACTATTGGGAGAGTTGGTGCTTTAACATAGAAATCATCGTGAGGGCGCAACTCTAAACAACCCACAGGAAGAGACAGACGAGGACAGGCGCCTGTCCTCGATTGTCTCTTCGTGTGTGTTGTGTATCGTTGAGTCCTCACAACGGTTGCTCTGCCACTCATTTACATGCATGAGTGGTGAATATCATGATTGATTTACGGTAACACCGAACGATGCGACTGCTTTACCCTCTCATCATCATTCACTTCTAGGTATACCATGACTGTCATATAAGACATGCCCTGTGTTTCTGCACGGACAAAGTTATAGAATTTGAAGATATGTGAATTTTCTTTGTTTTCCCCTATTTTCGTGTATTTGGTCTTGTTGTTGTCTGGTCAACCCAGTATTTGTAGGACGTTTGTCTTTTAAATAGTCCCACAATACACCATATTGAAAGATTTTGTTATGTGTCTTCATTATCAAAATACTTTCTTTGAAATCGGGCACTGAACCGATTAACGCAGGCCTCCGTAAGCTTAACACGCATTGAAACGCACACAACTTGGCCTAATCATAACGAATGCTATGGCATCTTTGACTCAAGCAAATTGAAAGCAAAAGCTCTTCAATAACAAGTCAAAAGCAAGTATTTTGCTTTAGGAAATGCGGAAGTCACTGCCTGGGAAAGAACGTGTTTTACTTGTTCGAGCTCCCACCAATAAGAACTCCCAGGATGAGAAATCTGTAGCTTAGAATTTGTACATGGCAATGAGGAAGTGTAGAATCTTTATTGCCCGAGAGTTCTGTCGAAACTGAGAAGCCAACCTGGTTATTGCAATTTTAGCACCAACTGGGGCTGTAAAACAACGTGGCAGACTTGAGTTCTCACGTAGTGGCACCGGCACCAAAGAAGCTACGCAGCCCGTAAATTGTATTTCACGCACGGCAAGTCAGTGCATTGCTGGTAGTCTACACTCTAGGCATTCTTTCTCCTCCCAGGCATTCCCATTCTCCCGCCCACGTTCGACGAAAGTTTGCTGTAAGTACAGCGACCTAGTAATGGAAGAGATAGTAGAAACATTCCAGGTCGGCATTATTAGCTCCCCGCTTCTGTCTTATCTCGCGATGTTGCTTCGACGAGCCATTTAGTGAAAGGCAACTGCCTGGATGCGGTTGTTGCAATCGCAGCTCAGTTTTGGCTGATAACATAACCGTATCGTATTTAGGAAAAATAATTGTCCCCGTATCTGCATATTTCACTGCAATTGTTGTCCAAAGAAGATAGTCTTGCGTGTAGAGAGAGTGAACAAAACGTTTATTTGATGTTCGGCGCGAGAAAACCGGTGAATGGTATTTTGGAGGCACTGCGTTAGATTGTCCCGATCCGTGCCGCGAAGGCAAACGAGTGCATCGAGAAACGTGATACACGAGCGTTATCTGGCAGTTATATTCAAAAACTAAGGAAGGCGTGCGCGTCTGTCTCGGAGGCGATAGGTGTAGTACGCAAAGCGACGGGCAGGCGCCACCACCGTGTCGTCTTAGCTAAGCGCTGGAAAGACTTGCCTTTTGAGAATATCGTTGCATTGTCAGCGTAGCGTGATCAACGCTTCGGTCTTTAGAATCACCTATCTATGCATTCCGTAGTATAAAGACACACATATATAATATTGACGTGTTAGCATACCTCAGATATGCGCAATAACTCGTTTTTAATTGACAATCGCATAACTATGAATGCTTAAACTTGAGCAATATTGGTTGGTGCTGCAGATGGGGTTAGCCATTTGGGGTATCATTACAGCTAACAGACAGACAGACAGACAGACAGACAGACAGACAGACAGACAGACAGACAGACAGACAGACAGACAGACAGACAGACAGACAGACAGACAGACAGACAGACAGACAGACAGACAGACAGACAAAGAGGCAGGCAGGCAGGCAGGCAGGCGGGCAGGCCAAAATTTTTCCGCCGAAGTACCGCAAGAAAGACTCTCCTCTTTAAAAAAAAAATATGCAGCTTCAGGGTTCCCCGTGAGAATACTGCATGCTGCGGTGCTTCCGCGTGTGTGCCGTGCAGGATGCAGTGGCTTGCAGACACCTCATGTGGCTACACTTATGCTTTGGGCAGCTTCCGTGTCACACAAAACAGAATTCAACAAAAAAAGGTACGTAGCCACACGCTTAACAATGCACAGTAAGATGCGTGCCCTTAGCATTAGTTTACTGACAAGCACTTCGAAGGTGTGCGTAGAATGAGTGCGCTGGCACGCAGCAGGGAAACGGCAGCTGTTCGAAGCGTTACACATGAAAATGAAGAGCACAAATTGCATGAGACGAACGTGAGTGGACTTGCGGGAGTGTCACAACCAAGTGCTTTGCCACAATATGCAGTATATATTTCAATCAGGAGCTTTACGCTTTGTGCGCTGGCCCACGTGTGACTACGTTCTGTATCTTTTTGCGCGAATTCTTTTTATTTTAAATAATGCAGTCATTTTTATCAATGACAAACGTACAGCGAAAAGCACGAATAGTACCCCATTTGAAGAGCCATGACCTGTAGCAGCAGAATAAATTTTAATATGTGTTTTTATAATAAATCTAGTATAACTTGAGCAAGACAGACAGTAATGAAGAGGTAGTACCGGATGTTTTATTACATTAAGCACTGTAAGGCGCAATAAAAACATTTTCAAGCAATGAGTTTTTTATATCGACTTTTAAGGCTTTTTGTATGGTTTATTGTAGCAAAGTTGAAAGGAATCTTGAAATACATTGAGAAGTATTGTATGAGATACGATGATTGCTCGAAATGCCTTGTATACCTGCATCTCACAGACTTCCTTCCCAGCAACATTCTTTGCCAAAGTACAATTTCAACGTACTTTGGCTCAGTCCTGGTTAGCACTAATCGATTACTTGTTATCATTAACATATTCTTCATTCGTGGAAGTCACTGTCCTGTTTTGATCATGTACCATGCACTCTGTGGATAATGTACCAATCGGCCCAAACAAGCACTTCAGTACGGTTCATATTCCTGGGATTTTCGCATTTAGTTCTCGAGACTACAACCTTTTCGTAAGTCAGTTACACTTTCTCGTGATTTATTATCGCTCTTCAATTATAAAATTTTTCTTTCAAAATCAATTCGTATAATTAATTGTATACGGTACTTCTCGTCTTCAAAACAATGCGACCGCCTTGTAAGAAACCTTCGTCTTGTCAGACGGTATGTGTCACTACAGAGCTTATGTTGTGCCTTGTTCCTTACATTATAGGTGTAACGCGCTGTATACCTAAGGGCCAGAAACAGTGAAGTGTATTGCGTTATACAGCACATGGGTGCTCCAATTGAAGCACTGCGCAACTGAGATCTCATGCGCTTGGTGTTCTTGCGTTATTATACCACCGGCCCCACTAACACAATCGCCCATGTAATTAAAGATGATGATTGGGTCAAGTTCCAGTAAATCATTAGGGTAAACGTTAACGCTCCGTACAATTGTGCGTTTAGAAAAAGTGGTTAACTATTTAGAGCACTTGCTACTCTACTATGGGAGAGCTTAAAGCCGTCCCTCTGGTCCCCTCGAACATGCGAATGAAAGGTAGCATGTGTGTTCAGTATGCATAATGTGGGTTTCACTCTTCCTACTCTACAAGCCACAGTTGTGCTTCACTGTTTTATCCAACTTGTCTTATTGTATTTCGGCAACCAATGTTTGAAGGAAAGAAATGCAAGAGAAAACGAAAACACTTCTCTGTATTTGAACAGTTACTTTTTCCAGGCATCTATTCACCACAGTAACTAATTATACTAAATAGAAACTAACTGTAGTTTTAATCGACTACTTATGTACTGTAACACCAACAATCCTGATTAAAAAGGATCACTAGGCGGCTAATGCTCTTGTCGGTGGCATCTCTCACCGTCGTTTCAGTTGAATCAATTGAAGGCAAGAAGCTTGCTTGGCAAGCGGCAACATGCAGTCGCAACTTCATACGCAAGAGTTTTGTTCAGCCAGACCAGATGGTAAAAAGTTAGTCTCGTATATAACGTTCCGATTTATAGATATCGCAATCATTGCCTCCTCCGGATGACGAAGTTGCCACACTTTCGTAAGATCGCTTTACCTTTTTCTCAACTCATTCTCCTCATTGTTTTAACGGCAATGCTGCTCCTCGAATTCACGAATATCGCTCGATTGCGTGGATTTGCTCAGGATATTTTGCGGCAGCAGTGTCTAATGTCAAACGTCCTTTTCACCTGATTAGAACGCCTTAGCTTTCCTTTGCAAACAACCGAGAGAAACAGATCACCATATCTCTGGCTCGCATACCCTGTACAAAAAATCCCCGCGTTTCGTGTTTTCTTACTTTGTTATTTTTAGTCAATACGATCAATATGTAACGACGTAAATAACTCACTTCATCGCACTTGCTTCGCGCGGTATTCGTTGGTGATATCGTCAGTAGGACGATTTTCACCGTCACTCGTGTCGATCACGTGATCCCTGGACGCTCTTTCGCTCTCCCCGCACTTATGCTTCGTAGCCACAAATGCGTCGTTTGTTGCTGTGTGTAGTTCACTGATGCAACGCTCACAAATATTGAGCGACTAAAACACGGTATAGATGCTGGTTTCAGCTCTTTCGAATCAACGTATTCCTTCAGTCGCTGTGCATCGTCCTTCCAGTGCAACTGGCCGGTGTCTTGAATGACGCTTCTTCAAGCCGTAATTTTTTACGTATTCACAGGTACGTACAGTTCATGTTCCCATTAATGCTTTCCAACTGTCGGCAGCATTGAGGCTTTGTGAGGCTCTAACCATATGATCAGCCTGTGCATGTTTTTTTCTTGAATGCGTTACTTTCAGTAAATCGGAACTTAACCAATCTTGATCCCCGTTCCTCATGAGACACCGTCTATCTGGCTAGAACGACGGACTGGCGTTTACTGTTGTTGACGTGTTGTTGCCGAGTAACATTCCGTGCGAACTATTTAGACTGCTTTTGCAACAGCCATATTATTTTCTGAAGTATTCAAATTCCCTTTAGGACGGTTCCTGGAGTGAAAAAATATCTGATTTTTGGTATAAAAGAAAAGTATTATTTATAAGTTCATTCTTCAATCCTGGAACGAAACTTTCCACCTCGAATGGCTCACTTTGCTTGTAATATTTTTATTAGAAATGGGCATATATTCGAAGTGTCAACACAGTTCTATTCGCTCCATGTTCATTTAAAAAAAAGTTTGTGTCGCCGCTTACGTAGGCGACATAGCCAGCGCATGAAGGCCCGAGGAACAGGAACATCCGAGCTCTGCTTTACGTGCTGCCTAAGAATCGCTTCTTTCGCGCGTGATATTTATCGACTGAGAGCTTTCACATTAGGCTGAACGACGGCCTAAAGACGATTTGCGAAAAGCATTGTAATTCACGTCTGCTGCCAAATGGCATTGTTCGGTATCTCAAATAAGCTTGCCTAGAATGGCGCAATTCATGCATTTTCCAAAACGTGTTTGTACCTAAAAATAAGCGTTTTCTATTCCTAAGTGCATGGGCTTTTCCCAAATGAACGAGTATAAATTTAACTGCACCCTTGCGTTTAACATTCGCAACCTGGCTAACTTCGGCCCCGCAGTGGTACTGTCGTGATTATGGCTGTCGACTGCTAACCCGAAGGCCGCTACATAGAATCCCGGCTGCGGCGGCTCCATTTTCGATGAAGAATAAAGTATTTGAGGCACGTTCACTCAGATTTGGGTGTACCATGGAGAATTCCAGGTTTTCGCAATTTCTGGAGCCTTCCACTACGGCGTCTCTTATAATCATATCGTGGTGTTGCGAGGTTAAACCTCCGAAAATGAAAACCTCCGAAAATGAGTTTAGGGTTCGTATTTGCTTTCCTAATTTCATAAAACAAGCGCAACTACGCACATTAAACACGTACACAGCTCGACAGCATTTAGGAAAGCTTTGTCCGTGATAAGCGTAATTGTAGTTCCACAACAAAGCAATATATTACGGGAGACGCGGTAGTGGTGGGCTCAAGAAATTTCATGCCCCTAGCGTTCATGTTTGGATATTTTCAATGCGCGCACGGTAAACATGCACAATAGGTAGACACTACCATGCTTACTCGACAGTGATGATCTAGTAATAAAAAAGTATCAAAGTAAGTAATAGATTTCTCGCGCATGCGTCACAGAGGAGGGCGCAACAAAAAGTTATCGTACAGGTAACATCAGAAAATAATAAAAACAATACATGTATAGGTATATGTACTTATTTATCGTGCAGCACTATTGTCGCTTCGCTAACAAAGCCACGTCCCCTCTTTCGCATGTGGTATGATACTACTATTTGGCGAGTCAGCTAATGCCTATGTCGAAGAAGAAAAATGGTTTCAGTTTCACGAAACGTGGGATGACAACCGCATTTTGTGCAGTGAAGCGGTAGATCAACGTAGCTTGACGCCTTTACACATGCCTGCCGTTCGCCAAGTCTGTCGTTTATCTACCATCAAGACTGGTCATCGCACACTTTGCGACCCGAAAGAAGTTTGATAAGACCACCCCTTTTACGCAGTTCCCAAACTTGTTCCGGTGTTCCACGAAGCAAGCTGATCAATCTATGTGCTTATTCACACACGGACTTACCAGTTAGTTTTTTTTTTTCAAAAAATGGCACCTCTACGCAATATTTACTGCCCACATGTTTCATGTTGTGTGCCAACTTGGGCGTATACGATGTAACAGCCACTTTGTAGTAGTTTTTTCAATTCAACTGGGCTCCCTGTTTATTGCCCCTAATTTCGCCAGCTAGAATTGTGCACAGTGAAAAAAAATAATCAAATGACGTGATCTGACTTATCAGTTTGCTCGGTGAAAGGGCCGAAACAGGTCCGAAAGATGCGTAAAAGGGTGGTTTATATTGAACTCGATAACAGTATCGACCAGAGTAGCATCAAAAGGGTAGTCTATAACACTGTCGACCATAAGGGCACTACCACTACGCATGAGGGCAGGTAAGCACGCCTTGAGTGGGCTAAAAGACAAAGTCAACATTCTCTTCGCTCTGATGCCATTTCCGTCACCACGCGGAAATCAGCAGAACATCGTTCAAGGCGACCGTTATCCGCTGAGTAATCGCGAGCTTTGCGTTAAAAGAGGAATAGCCGAGCTGTGAGGAAATGAGACAGTGATGCTCATGAATTTGGGAAACAAGTACAAGAACGTGAGCGAAGGCACGAGGGTAGCCTACATCGAACAGTTTATGATAGCTACCAATGCTTTTATTCTCAGTGTTTTTACGTAACCTACTCCAGTGAACCAAGCTCCTAAACTAGCTTTCAACATAACTACATGCATTTAAAAGTAAGCGACAACAGCTCAAAAGCCTGCCCGTGCAGTGCAATAAGTGTGTTTACTCGTCATCAAGAATTCAGCAGACACCGATTGCAATACGTGACATCATAACACATAGAGCTGCCAGACCACTCCTTAAAAGCCCGTGCCCAGTTTCGACGCGAGAATGCGAAGCTGTGAAGAAACAAGTGCGTTAAATACTATATAACACCATCTGCCATTAAAGGGAACCGTAAGTAACATGTAAAGCAGCACATATATCGACCTAAAGTTCCGTCCATTACGGGAACTTTGCCCAATCTTGTAAAGCGTCCTTGAGCCCACCATTCATTTACAGTAGTTTCTGTGTTTCTGTGATACTGTTGTACGCTCCGAGTTCTTGTTCAGGACGCATAACGCAGCAAACAAGACGTGACGCAGCACGCAGCTTGTCGATTGGTCTAAACCAAGTCTGAACAAACAGCAACGAAGTCAATGTCACCGATGACCGAGTTGACGTCACTGCACGTGGAAGGAAATTGGTGAGCCGTAGAAAAGATGCACGAGCTTCTTTGCAAAAAAAAATAGTAGGTGCTTGTTGACTCACCCTTTTTAATTAAATTAAAAGTGTGTTGCGCAGCGGCACGCATTTGGTTTTTATGGACCCAACAAACCGCCATCTGCGTCCTTAGTTTCTGTTGGCTGCAACAAACCTTGGGTGCGAGTGCTTCCTCCTGGATGGCGTTTTCAACAAAAAGGGGACGCACATTTCCAGGGGGTAGGGGGCAAGAGGTCAATTTCTCGGTGGTCACATGTATAGAAAAAGCTTCAGATGGGATTATAGCAGCCCTAGGAAAGCCGATGTCGAGAAATATACTTGACTTCACGCACATGTGCCAGCGTTTTTCTTTTCTCACGTGGCCATTATCCTTGCTTTCGGGCTAACTCAGCAATATCTGAAAAGAAAGCTTCGACTGGACGTCATGCTTCTGCATTCAAGTAATTTGAAGAGTTCGCTGAAACAGGTATGAAGAAGTTGAGTTTTTGTACGCCCACTTGTGAGATTCTTCCTGCATCTACATGTGCAAGTACGATTGTAAATGTTGGTTGTTATGAATTTCGCCATTACTCAGACTATCCTCAAGTGATACGTTCATTCATGAGTGCAATTCTGTAATTGCTGAATCTATGTTACACACCTTCAGCAACGTTTTATTGACATAAACGTGACGAGCTATGGCATCACCGAAGCAAAGCTGCGCCTCGGCATCGATATTTTGGGCAACATGGTCCCTGAGGTGTTTTCTTTTTCCTTCCACAGGCCTGAATTATTGAAACGTTGCTTTCAAGGCTGCGTAAGCGAGCTGTTCTTCAAAGCAGCTCCATTACAGAATGGCTACTTTCTCAGTTTCTTCGTCCAAATCACACGTTCAACTTATGGTTCAGGTGACAATTATAAGTTTTTTTCAACAGCGCATGATCATGTTGGAGGTCAATATTTTGAACGAAGCCTGACATCCCTCTTTCAGAAATTCGAGATGCAAGGCGGTAGCTCACCTAACGGTGATCGTCAAACACAACATGGAAAGCAAAAACCCAAGTTCAAAGTGGACTTGGTGTTTTGGAGACCTCCACCCAGAAGGAAATGGAAGCTTCGCTCCTCAGCCGGAAAGGGAGAAAGCTCCGATGCGTTGTCGCGTGCGTTCAAGCACTGGGCCGTGCTGTGTTGCCTTGACAATGGGGCTTCGTATGTGGTAGATGCTGTGCAGGAAAATGGCGTTCTCAATGGACGTCTTAAAACCAACGACGCGAAATGCAAACCACTTGAAAAGGTAAACACGTCATACAGCGGCTAATTCGAAACAATTGGGCTATTCTGTAGTTTTGCATACCTGTACGTTCTACACAGGTTTCCGGGTTAAAAACGCCACGTGGCTCAAAGAGATAAGACCTGTTCTTCTACGACAGTTTACGAGCACATGTCTGTTGCAGGTTGCTTCACAAAGCATTGTAGCTCTTTGAAGCTCACCTGCTGTACGAATGCCTGTGGGATCGACCCACGTTTTCTCACAAGATGATGCATTATGATGTGGTCATAAAGTCTTTACAAGTATTGAATATCTGTGACGTGTTGATGCCATCTTGAAACTGTAGTGGCGCATCACTAGACTTTAAAAGGTTGCTGTTGATGCTGGCACTGATAACCATTTTTTGGGATTGGTCAGGCATGTGCAGCTTCTACCTTGAAACATGAGTTTTAGTCGAAGTAACGTTTTCAGATAATGATGCTGTTTGCACCACTCATGCCACGCAAATGTCGACATCACTTCTATACTGTGTAAACGGGATAGTTAAGTTGCCTGCTAAATTTTCATGCTTCATCGTTCCTGTGAGGATAAGAAATTCAGACACCCGCATTGTTTACATATCCAACTTTCCTGTTTCTCACCTCTCTCTGTAGTCCAAGTCTGAATTACTAACCTCAGGTCCCGCTACACATCATTGAACGAGTCAAGACAGCACAAATTTAATCAGACTCGAATGAAAAAAAACATCTCGTACCATGCGTACTCGTAGCCTGTGAGTCCTCGGTGTCAGACAACAACTGTAAGAACACACACACAATATCGAATAGCTGAAACGCCACGCTTCTCAAATAGGAAGGGTGACCTGGTGCATTGCGAAGAAACGTTTGGGCACGAAAGTGGTGGAAGCTTAATTTATGAGTCGCACCATGTCCATCGCCCCTCACTATGGATGTACAACGCTTAGAAAGGCAGATTTATTATCATTATCAAAGCATAGAAGCAAGCTCCCACGTCCTTCAATGTATGAAGTATCAAAAGTGTTTAGTGTAGCGCTAACATATAATAATTGTGACCTAATTTAAGATTGGCGCGATTCAAACTACGAGAGGCAGTCGCACACAAAGACCAGGTGGCACGCCGTCTGTCGCTTTGGCATCGAATACATTACGCGGGCAGGGTCCGAAGCTCTAATATCCAAAAATATTTGAGAAACGTATCAAATTCTCTCATCTCATACAATATGCACGCTCTCACAAACGCAGAACGCCGCGCCGACCTCGTGAAACATCCTGACAAGAATAACGATGTGGCCGCGAATGTAGTTTACGTCGACGCAGCAGTCTACCTAAAAGAACCAGTTACAGCGCCCGCTCTCGTCAAGGCGCAGAACCGTGTTACACCTGGCACCAGGCTCCTTAATCACCCTACTTATCCCGAAGAGGGCGAAGAAGCCGTCATTGCTTTAGCCTATGCAACGACAGCGCCTCTTGTATTGTTAATGACATTTAGACAGCTGCCCCGAAGTTCACCATGGACCTAATTTGACCGAAATCGAACCACATACTCGAAACCACATCCCGATCTTGACACCGCTATGCTGATTTAATATGGGTTCCGGGCCAATCAAGTTTTTCCGGAAACGACGCCACTGACAACGTTTCAACAGAAATTCTTCACCAAGCGCGTCACCCGTCATCAGAGCGGCTACCTTCCCAATGAGTCTAGCAGGCTGAGGAGGATAAAGTAGAATCCTGGTGTGGCCATGTAAAATATGGAATGGTTATGTACTGGGAAATCCTCAGAAATCACTGTAGCGGTAGATTGAAGTGGCCACCACCTGAAAAGTCGCTGAATATGTACCAGTTGACAATGCCGTAATTATTCTCTATGCACTCCAAACACGCGTACGAACGTACCCCACACCCACGCTGTGTAGTGGCATGTTACCCGCACGTCTATACACCACTATGAAAACTTATAGCAGAGTAACCCAGCCCACCTCGACATCATTGTGTGAGCACACCACGCAGCGCCAGACAGGACAAATTACAGCACTAATCCTACAATTATGATAACCACACTCGAGCAGCTGAAGACTTCAGCGTGGCGCGAGCCTGGATGACCAATAGCAGACCATCCGGCTGGCCGTAGGCACCACCAAAATTCAACATATGGTCATCGCCTCTGAAGGCGAGCTCCAGTGGAGTTTCAATGGTGTCTCCCGGCCCATGCCTTCCTTGTTCTTAGCAAGGACAAAAATTGTTTTCGCTCTCTCTCTCTCTGCCTGTCTATATGTCTCTCTCTATGGGGTAGAATACTTCGTACTGCACGCAAAAGGCTTCAAGTTCATTCCCGCTGGGACCCCGACCTTCATTCATTGCATTCGTCGGTGCAACGTTGCCGATGTAAGTTTTTCGTAATGCTGCCGCATTTGAATAACCAATGTCCATTCTCGCCGTTCTTAGGTAGATATAGCTAACAATCATCTGTGGTGCATCATCACATGTCGCGGATCGGGGTATATGAGTATGTGCCACACGTGTCTGAAGGAAAGCGTTTGATGAGAAACGCAATGATATTGTGAATTTGTTCATGTTATGACCAGCCAGGCATATTTGAAGTGAGGGAACGTCAGGCCCAACTTACTGTACTTCTCTTTCAGCTATCACTCGGCGTTTATCCGCTAGACTATGGCGATATAACGAAAGCTTTCGGAGAGATTGCAAAACCAGGAAAGTACAGCGTGATGAAAAACAACTGTCAAGAATGGGTCATCGACTTGTTAAGAACAATGAAGATCAGTGTACCACCGGAAGTAAGAACAATTGCCGACCTCATATCAAGACTTCGTCTTCTTTCCGGCAGCAAGGTAAGACAAGCATCTCTCTAAGCCTCCAGGTTTCTTCTGAGTAGGTGAGTATTGACATGACGCAGCTACTATACCTGTTTTTTTTGGGCTAATGATTTAGGAAGAGATCAGGAATGGGATCTATTCCTTCCTTATTCTTCTTGTTTGTCTCATGGTTCTTCTACGCGATTACTACCTGTCCCAAGTTCACATATTCCTTTACAACTCGCAGCGCCTCTCCACCTGTCACGAAGCGTTGTTTTTTGCCGAGACGTTTGCAGCATACTTTTCCTTTATGCATACTATTTTGTGACCAACTCTTCTGCTTTCGGTGTTCAGTTCATTGATCATGAACTGTAATTTGTCCCCTCAGTTAATCATGAAGAAAATGTCATAGGAAAATCAAGGCTTACATATATACTCTTTACTAAGTGTTACTCCTAACTTATCTCAATCTAAGCCCATGAAAGCCTTCTGTAAACACGCAGTGAATAGCGATCGAGAGTCCTATCTCCCTGCTTTATACTCTTCTTTATTTTTGTTCTGTCACATTCTTTATAGAGAACCATGGCACCTGTGGATCCGCTGTAGATTTCTATCGGTACGTTTTTGTAGGGTTCGTTGATGGTTTATTTCTGTAGTGCCTGCATCACTACTGATGATTCGACTGAGTGAAACGTCTTCTGACAATTCATAAAGGCTACGTATAGGGGTTGGTTGTATTCCGCACACTTCTCTGTCATCTGAGTGACAGTATGCATATGGTGTATTGTGCAGTAGCCTGTAGAAAATCCTCTTTAGTCATTTTGTTGATTGGACTATATCCCGTACTTATTTCAATAGTTAATATAGTTAATAATTTGTAAATCTTTTATAGAAAATTGACAATAAGCTTATTGGCCCCTAATTTTTCAAGTTCTTGACGTCTTCTTTCTTATGAATTAAAATGGTGTTGGCATTTTCTGAAGATTCTGGTACCCTTTCCGTCAAAAGACATTTCGTATATGACTTGGCCACATTTTATAACGCAATTTCTCCGCCATCTTTCAGCAGGTTCGTTGTTACCTAATACCAGTGGCTTTGCCTCTTCGCATTTGTTCAAGGGCTGTTGCTACTTCACTTGTCGTTACTGGTAGGATGTAGAATTCATCTGGGCTATTATTGCTGCTTACATTACTATCCTGTTAGTTTCGGCTTCTGCACAACTATCTATAGAAGTGCTCCACCACCTCATGTAAGCTATAGCGTCAGCTTTTACACTAACGTGTTGATGCATTTTAGCGTCATCGCTAAAGCTTCCGCTCTTTTCAAAATAAATAGTACTCAGAACGTCGTGAGGGCATTCTAAGTGGAACAATCTGTGAATTTCAAGAAAATGTCACGTGCGTCCTGAGGCGAGTGATCAACTGTAATAAAGAAAATGTCCTGTTCAAAAGTGAAATGCAAAGTGAAATGCGACATTCACGAATGAAGGGCCCCTGTGACACTTTTCCAAGAAATTGCCAAAGGCACTACTTTTTAGAGCTTAGTCCCTGTTCGAACCGTTGAGCACGAGTGAACAGAGGGTGAGAGATATACAGATCTGTCACACCCTATCTACGCTTATCTCTTCCTTAGACCGCTGCGTTGTACTCAGAGAAAAGACACTGTTGAAAGATTAGTCAGCTGACATCAATATGTAGAGTGTTTTTTCACTTTTGTTTTTTTTTCTCATTTTTGTCAATGTGTTTGCACATTTACGATAACGCTACGAGTGCTCTACTGTGTTTGAGCACACTAGGATCTAGATGGAACAGCCGGCGAGTGGTTGCACAACACCGTGGTCTCGGTGTCCGCGCAGCAGTGGAGCACAATGTGCGGTACTTTCCAAATTGAGGTCCTAGTCGGGCATCATTGCAGTATTCAGTCTCTGGTGAGCAATGGCTTTCCCCAGTCTAAAATGTATATAGAGGCAGCGCCCCCAAAGTAACAACCCACTTTTAAACTAATTCAACCTGATAGCTTTAACCAATGAGTACCAAGGTTTCAAGCTCGCAATGTGCTCAGTATCAGGCCGACACAAACGTATAGCTTCCACGTAACGGCTGCACTACGTCGCTTACTACCCCCCCAACGTTGGAGACAACTAAAGAAAGCGACAGCTTGCGAGATGTTTTCAGTGCGATAGTACAAAGCGAAAAAAAGTCGGAGGAGAGAAGAAAAACAGTACACAAAGCAAGGGCTGAATGTTAACTGACTCTATGTCGGAAAATACCACAGATGGTAGACTACATAAGCGCTTTCATGTCACCACTGCAACTCTAAGGAAGCATCAAATAAAAAAAAGGCTGTTATTCTTGAATCAATACATAGACATGTCTCTGCTAAACTTCGCGTCCTTGTTCCTAAGGCAACGAGCTTCGAGCAACTCTCTTCGCGCGGTATCTGTTTTTCAACCAAGAATTTTAATCTCGCTCGCAATGCTGCGGTGCACATGTGCAGGCGGCGCAGTGAACTAATAGCTGTGCTGTTTTTTTTTTCAAGCGCAATACGTCTTTTGAACAAAAGTCCTTGATTTTACACTTGACTAGTGGCAAAGCCACTGCACGTAAGCGCTTAAGAGTCCACCATCTCTGATCTTTTCGGATAGGACATACGTTCTTGTTTAGCGCTTGCTCTGTGAACTGTTTTTCTTCCTCTTTTACTTCTAAGGTATTTCACATTCTATTTTCGTGCAAGCAACATGTCGCATGCTACACACTACCACTTCTACGAATAGTAAGTTTTGATAAAGCAATAATTGATTGATTTGATTGATTTGTGGGGTTTAACGTCCCAAAGCCACCATCTGATTATGAGAGACGCCGTAGTGGAGGACTCCGAAAGTTTTGACCACCTAGGATTCTTTAACGCGCACCCAAATCTGAGTACACGGGCCTACAACATTTCCGCCTCCATCGGAAATGCAGCCACCAGATAAAGCAATAGCAGATCAAGTTATTTACACCACCACTTCATACAAGTCTGTGAACTCGGCTTGTGGTTCAACAATATTTCCATAATTCATTTGTAGGAGGCTTTCTTGCTGATCTGCTGGGCTTTAAGGCTGTCAGAATAACCTTGCAAAAATACTTTAAGCCTTGTTCAATTTTATTGAACGTAATTTTTGTGTTAGAACATTCGGCTGCAACCCGCGCGTAATATCAAATATGCTTTTGGCTACTCGCTACTATTTAAAACGACAATTCAGTTGTACGTGGTGGAACCGAACCACGCAAATGACCGAATGGGTGGGATGTGAGGGCATTAATTGCAAATACTTTAGAGCATTGTTTTCTTGTGATTATCGTAATCTCTCGATATTCGTACTCTGTCGGTGGAGTTCACTGTATATATACTTTTCTACGCAGTAAATTGCAGCACCTCTTTGTACATCCACTGGCTCTCGTAAAGCTCAATCATAAAACAATCTTCCTTCAATATTCAAAAGTTCTATCAACGAATTTTGTGGTTGTCGTATGCTTTTGTTGCTTGATTACTGAACCTATGCTCACTGGATCAAACTCCAGCATCATGACGGCGATTCTATGGAGGACACAAACAGACAACCAAGTGCTTATACTTGAGTTAACGTGTGCAGCGGACATTATATAGCTGACAAGCAAGCTTAGGCTGCGTCTCATACTAGCTGTCTAACAAAAAATTTGCAGGTACCATGTACAGTGGAAATCGGTGGTATGCGAAGCACGAATTAGGAAGGTTGATATGTCAATTTGAAATCAGCACAACGTTAAGAGGTAGAGGCAACTATTGCGTACATGGCTTCGGTGTCATGATTATAATGTTTGGGTGTGTCGTTTACCTTTGTCATCTATTCACGTCACGTGATACCATATTTAGTATATGTGGAGCTAGTGAAATGGCCGCGAGCACGCTAAGAGCGTCGTATGTTGTCTTGTTCTTACATGATACGCGTGTCAAGATTATCATGTTTGAACCAGTCATTTACCTTCGTCATCCATTGACGTCACGTAACGTCGAAATCGGTATATTTGGAGCTAGCAAAATGGCCGTGAGCGCATTATGAAGGGTCCGATAGACTCTAAAGTATTGCCGACGCGCGTGCACGTTGGACACAGCGACGCTATGTTAGCTAAACTCAAGCACGCTATAGTCTAATGCCAGGTGCGACCGACGCGACCGGCATCCGTCGGCGTGGCACGACGGATGCATTACTGAGACAGTAGTGCGTCTGCCTATTTGTGTGACAGAGGGACACCGCACGCGCTGAAACGCGCATGCGTCTAAGCAACGCAGCGCGGCATGCACCCGCGAGTATGTGGCAGCATAGTTTCGTACTATACACTATAGCGAACTCTGGCGCTAGTGTCTATAGTAGCTGCAACGCTTGGCGCTTCAGCGAGCATGTGAATGATGGGTAGTAAACACATTTTTCTCATTTTCGTACTTCTGGCATGCTTCTGGCTTCGTGTGTGTTCGTGTGGCTCAAAGCTCTTTTTTTACGCAAAAAAGAGCAAATGCTCAGTCGCCTTCGCACTTCACACCTTATATATATAGAGGCTTACCACTTCGAATCGGGTCACAAAGTTCAAAAGAGTTCGTTCTTTCCTTCAAAACAAAACTGTCACCAACAATAAACGAAGCGGCAAGTACGATTTGCCCCCCGCAAGTACGAAGACTAGGCAAATGTGTGTACTACGAATCGTTCTCATGGTCGCTGAGCAATCGCAGCGCCAGAGTCTCCTCTAGTTAATTTTATAAAACTATGTACGGCAGGACCTGCGCCTGGCGTGGCAATGCCGTCGTAACGTGATGAAACCAACACTGGCACGCACGCGCACAGGGTAACGTCAAAACGTATTGGCACGCTGTCTGTGGCATGGAGTGTTGTTCTCACATGACACGCATTTCCTGATTATCATGTTTGCACCAGTGCCATGCCATCGCCATTCATTCACGTCCCGTAATACCAAATTTGGTATAAGTGAAGCTAGTGGAACGACCACCAGCGAACG